ACAAAGAAAAACTTTACAGAAATTCCTTAGAATAAGAAACTGAAAGCCCATCTGCTCAAACAATTCCAATGTAAGATACTAAGAGAGAGCTACTCTCCCACGTTCATTGCAATATTATTTATAATAACCAATACAAAAAGATAACCAAGAGGATACAGGAATAAGTGAATAAAATATGAGTTACAAGTACATAACTGGATGTTACTCAACCATAAAAATAAGAAAATCATGTCATGTATGAAAACATGTATGATGAGAGATGACATGATGCTAAGTGGGGCAGATGTATAACTATATTATCTCATTCATACATGGACCATAAAAAAGTTATAATCACAGGATCAGAGGTTGGAGTGATGGTTTCCAGTGCCTGGGAGTTGGGGATGTGTGGGAAATGATTAGCTCACACATAGGCATGGGCGTGGGTTCTTGAATCTTGTTGGGCTGTTGTGAGTCTCATGGCTCCAAAGAGGTTGGAGCTTGGGAGCCTTGAGTGAGTTCACTTCACCCATAGCACTGGGCGGGCACTACAGGGCCCCACCCAGCAGGGGGAGTTCTCACTCAGTCTGAAGCTCCTTGGAGGCGCAGAGCTCTTGGATTGGGGTTCCCCAGGCCAGGAGGTGGACAGGGACCAACTGATCTCAAGCCCTTGGGCTCTCAGATGCCACTGAGAGGCCATGGAAGGACTGAGACTGGGGGCATGTGGGCTGACCCACAGCCAAGAGAAACAAGGGGGGAGAGAAGAAAGAGGCCCCAGCAGTGCCCCACAGGAGAGACTCAGTTACTGTACTTGCTTAGCAAACTCGGTGGCCCAGCTAGCTTGCTTGAAGATGCAAATCCCCTTGGCTGGAACACAGAGAGGTCCTCCAGGTAGGAAGTTAGGCACTGGGCCTGCAGCTATAGCTGCTCATTAAAGGCCTTATCCTCATTTTCCCATGGTGGGCCCCAAAGAAATGAGAAAGTCCATGGTTCCAAAAGAGTTTATTTTCATGACGTCTGTAGATGGATCTTGCAGTACCCCATGAAACTCGGGGCAAACCTGAGTTAAATAGGGAGGGAGAAGGGGGAAGGATCTGCAGAAGAATGCTTAATTTGCTCTGCCCTCTGGCCTTCGGTATCTCATTAGTATGTAAATCTCTCTAGGGCCTGAGGCCTGTAGACACACCTTCTACCTGTATTCTTTGGGAGGGGCTGCATTACCCTACATGACTGAACAGTGCAGGTTAATGGAGTTGCACGCCACATGTTAGGAGCCTGGATTCTGGAAGCATGGTTGAATAAACGCAAGTCCCTTGCAGGGTCTCTGGGCTCCTTCCAGCCAGGGCTTCTACCAAAAACCACAACCACTTTCACAGTCCTACAGGGATTAGGGACAGCTATTAAAAAAAAGATATAAAGTTTCTGTAACAAGAAATTTTTATTTCTTCTATGTAGAACACATATGATGACAAATGCATGAATTAGATTATAGTAGTCATTACACAATGTCATACAATCACCAAATTCTGCCTCTTGAATATATCTAATCACAAGAATGACTATAAACCAAAAGTTATAATAATGTCTTGTCAGAGATGCAGAGAAAGGAGTATATTCATACATTACCAAGAAGACCACAAAAACATTCAGCCACTTTAAAAGCAGGCTGGCATTTCTGATATACCATATATACTTACCTAACATGTTACCAGCTCACTTTATCCCTAGAAATTTACAGAGAAGAAACAAAAGCAAGCTAATGTTTTGTAATCTTCACAGTAGCATCAATAACAATAGTTAAATGCCAAAAACAGTTCTAACATCCATCAAATGATGGATACATTTTAAAATTTTAATTACCAGTTCAAGAGAGACTATCATGCATTACTTTGAAATATTAATTTGCAATGTGACTGAACAGCAAAGAGTAATCCTGACTGAAGAAAGTAGATAGAGAAGACATTCTGCTTAATTCTATTTATACAAAACACCACAAATGGCAATTAAGTGGAGAAAGAACATAGAGCCTACAGCTAGGGCTAGAAGGGGTGACCACAAACAATTATAAGAGATGGAGCTCCCTGGAAAAGAGAAATAAAACAAATTATGTGGGTGGACAGGGGATAGGTGGAATGGAAAGCAGAGGGCTCAAGTTGGGGTGGGGGGGAGAGAGAGAGAGAACAGACACAGAGATAAACACAGAGAGACAGAGAGAGACAGAGAGAGAAAGAGAGACAGAGACAGGATGGGGAGAGAATTGAAGTAGATGGGCACTTATTGGGCAATATGGAAATCTAACTAGGATTCCTAACCATGGAGGATATGGAAGCCCCATTGAGGAATCGATACCACAGTCAGGCTACAACTTTAGGGATAGCCTCTGCTCCAGCTGTTGGGGGCCCACATGGAAACTGATCTGCACATTTATGTATGTCCTGGGGGCCTTGTTCAAGCCTGTGTGTATACTTTGGTTGGTGGCTTAGTCTCTGAGAGCTCCCAGAGTTTCTGGCTAGTACACTCTGTTGGTCCTCCTGTGGGGTTCCCACACCATTCAGGGCCCCCAACTCTTCCATAAGAATCTCCAGCTTCTGTCCAATGTTTGGCTATGGGTATCTGTTTCTGTTTCAGTCAGCTGCTACTTAGAGCCTCTCAGAGGATAGTTATGCTAGGCTCCTGTCTGCAAGCACAACAGAGTATCATTAATATCAGGGATTAGTGTTAGCACATAGGAAGGGATTCAAGTTGGGCAGGTTATTGGTTGGCCATTCCTTAGATCTCTGCTCCATCTTTGTCCCTGCATTTCTTTTAGACAGTACAGATTTTGGGTGCAAAGTTTTGTGGGTGAGTTGATGTCCTTATCCCTCCACTGGGGGACCTGCCTAGCTAGCTACAAGAGGTGACCTTTTCAGGTTCCATGTCCCCATTGTTATGCATTTTGGTTAAGGTCACCCACATTGACTCCTGGGAGTCTCCACCATCGCTGTTCTCTGGGACTTCCTAAAGATTTTCCCCCTACTCTCGCACCCACAGCAGCTGCAGATTTCCATGCACTTTCCTGGCCCTCTGGGTCTCTCTCCTGTCTCTCTACACACTTGATCCTGCCTCTCCATTTCCCTTCCCTTCCACTTTCCCACCCACTTCTCTCCCTCCTGCCTCCTATGACTATTTTGTTCCCCTTTCTAAGTGTGATTCAAGCATCCTCACTAGGGCCTTCCTTCCTGTTTAACTTTTGTGGGCCCATGGGGTATATCATGGGTATTCTGTACTTTATGGCTAATATCCACTTAACAGTGAGTACACTTGTAGGCCATGCTATACTGTTCTTGGACATATACCCAAAAGATGCTGCGTCATCCACAAGGACACATACTCCACTATATTCATAGCACCTTTATTTATGATAGCCAGAAACTAGAAGCAACCAAGATGTTCATCAACTGAAGAATCAATACAGAAAATGTTGTTCATTTACACGATGGATTCAGCTACTAAAAACAAGGACATCATGAATTTTGAAGGCAAATAGATGGAACTAGAAAATATCATCGGAAGTGAGGTAACCCAGACCCAAAAGGACATTAAATAGCAGTTTTTAATTAGAATTCTGTTTTTCTTGGTATATGATAGGTGCTTAATGGCAGACTTTTAAATGTTTTATTGATTCCCTATGATTCACTTTCAAAATATCTAAACTATAGTTTAATTTGTTTTTAAATGTAGTCTCTCAGTAAAAGCTTACTGATTTGCACATCCAAATTCTTCCTTGCCAGACACTTTTCTAGGCTGAATCTCTGAGTTCAGGAGAAATGGGCCTATCCTCCCATGGAGCACCAGACTTGATTGTGCTAAATTAAAAATGGGCTCATCCTCTTTGTGTAGTTTCTATCAAGAGCAAGCAAAATTTGATCTTTCTTCTTCTGTATCTTCCATCGGTCCTCAGCAAAGGCCAATGGTCTCTATTTATTGAACAGTACATAAAACATGGTGTAAGAAAGGAATGGGGACTCTTTTGTCTTTCATTTTTGCTTGTTTGAGTTTTTGATTTGCTTTTTCACAGTGACTAATGGATTGAATAAATGAATACCCACAAGGCCTTTTAATTTCACTGGCAACAATTTTCTGGATATTTTGCCTCTTCCTGGTGATTTCAGCTGAGGAAAACATGAGTTCCTTTATTTCAATCTCTATTACTAGTATTAATTCTCATTCTGGTCTGGGGCATGCAAGGGTCACAATGTGGAGAGAGGCAATATGGCTTAAGATTAAATTGTCTCGATGAATATGGTTAACTTGGTTGCAAGGTCAAGAGAAAAAAATCAGCTTATGAAGATAAGAGTTATTTCCAGAAAAAGTCATTCTCACGGTATTTGAAAATTAGCACTTTACTTCAATGATTATCATATCTATTTGGCAAAAATATGTGTCCATGTTATCTCTTAGAAACAAAGCTCAATGTTCTTAAATGATTTTTTTATATTTATGTGTGTGTGTGTGTGTGTGTGTGTGTGCCCACACGCATGTGCTCAGCCATGTGCATAATGTATCTATACAAGTGTACACAGAGGACAGAAAATGATATGGGATTCCCTGGGGCTGCAGCTTATAAGCCACCTGACATGGATGCTGGTAACCAAATGTGCTCTATCTAAGAACAACAAGCTTCACTAGCCACTTGACCATCTTTCCATTTACCCAAAAGATTATCTTGATAAGAATATAATTTAAGATTTTATTAAGCATTAATTGCTTTAAGTTGTCAATTTACCAACTGTAAACTTAATGTTGGATTTTTAGGTGTCATTAAGTAATTGATCACAGAATTTAAAACCTATAAATTCCAGGATCTTAGAAGTGAAAAGAGCAGCAACAGTCTAGCCTTCTATTGTGTATCCTACACAGAGGTTCACTCAGTCTTCTTGGGCTCTGAAGACCTGATGATAAACTCTCCAATTCACAGTAGACTTCAATGCAAAACCATGGTCATGGTAAGCCCCATAGGAATATGTAGCTCCATCCAAATCTTAGCATTTGCCAAAATGTGATATAATAAATGAACCACCATTTTCTCTGTAGAGAAAAAAAATAAAGGAAATTAAAAAAAATAAAGAAATTATTGGAAAAATGCATCAAACTCTGGGAAGTGTGCTATGTGATTTTCACTGGGGAAAGACTAAATGGAGGACGTCAATTTCTTCTTCTATGAGCAATTAACTCCTCACTGCTCCTGGTTTCTGCACACTTAAAGCTGAGGAAGCTGTAGGGACCCATTCTACTGCCTTGGCTTTGCTTTCCTTAGTCTTGAAGCTTTTCCAAACTCCAAGAGAAAAGAATCAGGGATTGTTAGTAGGTCTTGAGAAATACAACTATCCAATCACAGAGTACTTAGGAGCAGATAGGACAGGGTATTGAGTGGAGGTATCTTAGAGCATCCTGTTGTCTAGAATCTTTCATGGAGTTCAGAAGGTAAGACAACTTTACCACGGGGCCTCTTTCTATCATGATAGATTGCATCCTATAGCAGAGGTCTACTGAGCATCAGGCTTTGGGATTATCTCATGTTGTGTACACAGTTCATAGTTCCTAATAAGTAAAATTAAGGTAAAAGGTAATTGATCTGTATGTTTGTACATGTTCAGCACAATTATAGTCTTAGATTCCAAATGCAAAAGCCACTTTCAGAAATCACAATATTAAAGGGAAGTACACATGTTTCTTTGTCTTTTACATTACATTGATTTGGTAAGACACGTTTACTGTCTATTACGAGCATGGAATATCAATAACACAAATCTAAAATTTTGTTATGAAGTCTTCATTACTTAGGAAGAACTTGCACTTGGTATTTTACTCTTACCTGTATGCCAAACAGAAAACGCATTTGTTGAAATAAGTACGGCCATTGGTTGCACAGACTGGAAAATACCGTTTGGGACAAAATCTTATAGGGCTATGCCCTCTACACATTACCTGAAAAAAAAAAGATAACATAAATGTATAAGACAATGGGTTATTGAATGAAAAGTTCTTCACTCTTAATACGTAATGCCATAAAATGGTTACATATAATCTGTAAATAAATGTAAAGTACATAGACTACAGTAAACCATGTGAAACCAATTATCATGTTTTTAATTTGTAAGGGCTCTACTAATAAAAACACCATGCACCTGGCACAACATACTCTTGAAAAGCAGCTGGCTCACATTACAACATCAGGGAACTTCCCCACCAGATAACATTTCCTTCATCCCCATCACTAAATTGAATTTTCTATTTATATTTCTAAAATTCCTCTTTAATTACTTTGCAATTCAGTATACATATTTACTGTGTGTGCATGTCAATACATCTCACTTATGTACATGTTCACGAGCACATTTTCAAATTTAGATACTTTTGCAATTTACACAATAATATTAATATCATATAATTATACATGTGTAGCTCAGCCCTGCGGCCGAGAAGTCAACTGCAAAAATACCCCCTGCCAAAATTTATCCCTCCCTTGCATCCTTAAAATCCCTAGCAGAAGAGGCATAGTCCCTAGAGAAGGAGGCAGCCAAATACCATAGTCCTGACTGCTCCCCCACCCCGCACTCCCTTCTGCCAAAACCACCTCCCTATGCTACCACCCCTCCATTTTGTGTGGCCGATATTACCGATTATACCATCAAAGCTAAAACACAACTTTCACCAAAAAAACGACTTCCCTTAGAAAGTTAATAGAGGAAAATCGAGAACATTTGCAGTTAATAAAAGAACTGCGAGCTCTTGATTTAAAATTAACTTCCCTCTCCCCGATGCCCACCATCTCCAAGAATAAATCAAAACCCAAGTCTCAAAAACCTATATTGCCCTTTCCTGTCACCAGGAGCAAAACTGCTATCTCTTCCAATAATGACCCTGGTGTTGGAAAAGATAACGATGATACAACGCCTTCCGAAATGAGGCCTCCGATTATGAAAACAAAGCTTCAGGAGACTCGGAAAGTGAGGGAGATGAAGTAAAAGAGAAGCAGTATTGCCGCTGCCTTACAGTAACTTTATCAGCCACCTTACTGATGCGGCTGAGAGGCTTGTTGGTTGTGATGAAAACAAAAGTGCCTTTCTCAAACACCTAGCATTTGAGAAGGCAAACCCTGCCTGCCAGTCTCCATACTGCCCCACCGTAGCAGTACCTAAATTTCTGATTATATAAAACTGTGTGCAGGCAATGGCTCAGCTCATGTGATAGGACTTCCTACTGGAGCTGCCCTTAAGGACTCCAAGCAGGGCGGCCCCCCAGAAGCTTGTTTTAATTGCAAACAGCCAGGGCATTTCTCTAGCGAGTGCAGAGCCCCTAAGGCAGAAAGTACACTCCCTGCCTCCTTGTGTCCCGGATGCCAGTGAGGGAGGCATTGGGCTTCAGAGTGCCGTTCTAAGACAGATGCACAAGGTAATGCCTTGCCTCCGAAGCAGAGAAACTTCCAGAGAAGACAAAACCCTGGGGCTGTCAGGTTTGTCCCTCAAATATTAACCCCTCAGACTCAAGTGTTGTCTCCCTCCACCGAGCAACTGCAGGCAGCGCGGGACTGGACCTCTGTTTCTCCACCGATACAATATTGACACCTGAGATGGGGACAGAAGTTCTACACACTGGGGGTCTTTGGCCCCTTGCCCCCTAATACCTTTGGACTTCTCCTTGGGTGTGCAAGTTCCACTCTCAGGGGTTTAAATATCTCCCTCGGAGTGATTGATAATGATTTCACAGGTGAAATAAAGATCCTGGCCTAACCCACCTCTGGTCCTGTGGCTGCTAAATCAGGACAGAGAATTGCTTAATTGCTTTTAGTCCCACGTAAACATCCTAATCAAAGATTCCTTTGAGAGTCTAGGGGCCCTAATAACCTAGGTACATCCGATGCTTATTGAGTCCAGCAAATTACCCAAGAGAGACCCCTTTTAAATTAAAATTAGAGGAAAAAGCCTTTGAAGGCCTTATAGAGACTGGAGCAAATGCCACGATTATCTCACAACAAAACTGGCCTCCTTCCTGGCCCCTAGCAGCCTCAGTAACACATCTAAAGGGCATCGGACAAATCTCTAATCCCAAACAAAGCTCTAAGATCCTTACATGGGTAGATGAAGAAGGCAATTCTAGTAAAGTACAGCCTTATGTTGTGCCTAACTTACCGATTAATTTATGGGGCAGAGGCATACTTGGCCAGTTAAATCTTATTACGTGTAGCCCTAATGAGATAGCTGCTCATCAAATGTTAAAATAGGTATTTCAACCTGGACAAGGGCTAGGAAAACATTCACAAGGAATAAAAGAGCCTATCTCAGTGACTGAAAAATTTAACCACCTGGCACTTGATGCTGAAAATTTACCCTAATGGCCGTTGACATCCCTGTACCCCACGTCGACAAAATTACATGAAAATCAGGTAAAGTCGTGTGAGTTGATCAATTGCCATTAAGCTCAGAAAAACTGGCTGCAGCAACAGCGTTAGTACAGGAACAACTTGGTGCCAGCCATTTAGAACCTACCACCTCCCCTTGAGAAGCCAAATAAACATGGGCATCCCAATAGACTGGTCCTCTAACACCCAAGCGGTGGGCCCAGAAACATATACTTCAAAGTATATAAAAGACTTTTGTCTTGCTCCACCAGGCAAACTTGCTTGCTGGCCGCAGGTTGCTCCTGTACATCTGTCAGATAGGGGTGGTCCTACTGACCAGGTTAGAGAATTACAGGTTGAGAAACGAATCTAAGATCAAATTGATAGCCTTCTGCCTCTCCTTCATTATCATCCTCTTTTGCAGCCAAAACCAAGAGGCATTAATATAAACCTCCATACTACTGAGATCCTTGCTGCCACACATGCTGTCTTGAACTCTACCAACCCCTCCCTAGCCAGTGATTGCTGGTTGTGCCTTTCAATGGGAGCCTCCTGGCCCCTGGTGGTTCCTTTGTTTAATGATGCCTTGATCTCTTACTCAAAAAATTATTGCAGTTATTTAACACCTTTTAAAGTGGTGTCCTCTGGTTTTAATAAATCTACATACTTCTCTAGCCCTTGTAAAAATAATTCCTTTGATGTAGATCTTGGGTTGGCAACTTTTGCCACCTGCAGTCATTTCATTACTACTTCTGATCCCATATGTTTAGACAAAGGGAAAGTTTTTGTGTGTGAAGATAGTATGGCATATCCTTTTCTCCCTGTGAACTGGACCGGCTCTTGCCTTTCTGCAGTACTCTTACCAGATGTTGAAATTATTCCTGGGGATCAACCTGTCCCTTTGCCTAGCTTTGATACATTTTTTCCTAGGCATAAAAGAACTATTCAATTTATTCCCCTCTTGATTGGGCTTGGACTCTCTGGGGCACTTGCCACTGGCTCGGCTGGCATTGGGATGGCTATGGACACTTATAATAAGTTGTCCCAACAATTGATAGAAGATGTCAACATGGTTTATCAGTCTGTCAGAGACCTACAAAATCAGGTAGACTCTCTGACAGAAGTGGTCCTACAAAATAGACATGGCCTTGATTTGCTAACCGCAGAAAAAGGATGTATCTGCTTAGTTTTGCAGAAAAGGTGTTGCTTTTACACAAACAAATCTGGAATCATTCGAGACTTGATCTGAAAACATTAGGAGGAATTGGAAAAGAGTTGTCAAGAACTTTTTAACTACCCCATATGGTACGCTTGGAATGGGATCCTGCTTTACCTTCTCCCTTTTCTTGGACCACTAATTGGTCTGCTAGTATTGTTATCATTAGGATCTTTTTTCTTCAAAAGGCTCACTGGCTTTGTAAAACAACAAACTGACTCCTTGGTATCTAAACCTCTACAAGTACATTATCATAGACTTGATTTGGCTGATAGAGGCTTGGCTGAGCCTTGCAATGACCTATCTCCTTTAGGAGCTGCATAGAACTCAGATCTATGCATCTTGGTTTGGCATGGCACACACACAATGTGGGTACCTTCAAGGGGTGTGTGACAAGGTAATGCAGGGGAAGGACCCAAATTGTTTGCTTCTGAGTCCCCCAAAAAGCAAACCTGATTGCATAGAGGTTGGTGTTGATTTCTGGTGTCTCAAAGCAGCCAGCTAGGACCCTCGATATTCTATGTGGCCCATGAGACAAATAACCCTCTCCTCCCCAAAAAGACACCATTGCAGATGGTACTTGAAGGATCAGGTCAATACTTTTCCCCACTTATCTGCCAATGAGATTTCTTAATGTCTGCATTCACCTGCTAGCCTCATTTAAAATTGTCAAAAAGGAGCAGATGTCTAGAGCCAAACACAGGAAATGACCTGCTGTTCTGGGAAACCTAGTCTCAGGTCCCAGGAACTTAAAGAACATCTGGCATTTCCTGGGAGCCAGTTAAGATAGTGGGATGGTCTAGGGCAATAAGCATATGACAGTGGGATGATCTGGGGCAATAAGGATTCATTAGTGGGATAGCCCTGAGCAATGACCCTCACCCAAATTTCCAGGTTTGCTGTGTCTTTATAACCTGCCCCCTAAATTAAAGTTTCAGAGCTTGATCAGAACCCAGACTTGCTCTCATTCTTTGTGTCTCTTGTCCCTTCATTCTTCCGCTCCCTTCCCTAGGGTCTTGTCGAATCCCCGCAGGCCGGCTGGGGCAATATATATTACAGATATACAGATATATTGATATTTAAAGGAATAATTCATTTATTTTAAAATTTATGTAGCATGATGAAAGCAATCATTTTTAATGGTAAATTGACCATTGTGCTGCCCCTACTGCTCTGTAAATATATCAAATTACATATCTGATTGCCAATGACTGGAATTTGCAATTAAAATATTGATTTTTCTCATCTTGTATCAATAATAAGTCGTCTTGCATTTAGGGTTGATGTTTTAGACTTATTGCAATAAAATATACCATTTTTTAACTTTTAAGTAGTTTATTTTTTTGAAGTTGCTCAGTTTATAAAAAAGAAAACATTACCTTTTCAATTTCCATATAAAATAATAGTAACTTACTCTATGCTTGTAAATTGCTGATCTTATAAGGTGAGTTTCTGAAAACAAAACAAAAATGAACTGATAAAATATATAAAAACAACCTTGACCACGTTGTCTTTGGTGAGACGTACCTTCATCTAAATGTAGCAGATGCTAACATAAATTGCCTGCTGCTGTAGGTAATAAATGATAATTTTGTGGCAATAGTAAAAAAATAAATAAAAATACATACAAATCTAGAAAATTCTAATTTCCAAATATATATAACTCTGTAAAAAATAGCATCATATACTACTCTCCTATATAACTATTATCATACTGCAGTTGTTAATAGATCTTGGATATATTAACTTTATATAAAATTTTAAGTGAAATATTCTGGCCTCAGAGTTCTTTCATGTATTGATTTAAGTTGGAAAAAGCTCATCAGCTGCAATTTCAAAGTTCCAGGTGATGTTTCATAAGTGCCTCATTTTGTAATGCATAGGCAATCTTGAACTTGAAGGAAGATAAATCACTTCCTAAAGTAGCTCTTGACTTACAGGGCATGTTTAAAGACATTATTCCTTCCTCAGCTTTGCATTTAGCAAGAAGAGGATTTAATTAGCAATCTGGACTTAGAGTTGAGCAAAGACTGAAAGTCTATACAGCCCATTCTAATCCACCACTCTCTTTAAACTTCTCCAGTGTGAGCGAGTTAATATTTAAAAGCAAATAGAGAGAAATAAACCTATTACTCAGTTGCTCAAAAAACACAAAAGCCAAAGGAATCCACTGTTGTAATTTTAAAGAGGCATTTGTAACATGACCAGTTTAAGGATCATAGCCCCAATAGGACAAACTCGTTCACTCATTTTTGATTTTTCAGAGATTTTCCCTCCCTGAATATTTTAGAATATGTTTAAAGTTCTAATTTGGACTAAAAAATATACTCACCAGAACAAAGAAGAAATGATAAGGTAATGTATATAACTTGAACTCTTGAGAAGATGAACATTTTATGAAAGATAAACAAGAACCTTTTATGAAAGATAGACACGGTACCTGGGACAGCAAATAAAAACAACCAGGGCTCAGTCAGACAGTCTTTTGATTCTGAGAAACATTTCTATCCACTCAGAACCCTAATTAAGAAATGATATTCCCTTTTATCTATTTCTAAAATTTGATTCAACAAGGTCAGAAAATGTAATCATGAGAGACCACCCAGAGATAGGTAAATAGATGATAGATAGATAGATAGATAGATAGATAGATAGATAGATAGATAGATAGCTGTAACAAATTAAATCAATCAATCAATACAATTCAAAAATACTGAGAGACACATAGAGAGAGGGGAAAGGGGTAGAGGGAGGGGAAGGGAAAGAGGGAGGGGAGGGAGAGAGGGAAGGGAGGGGGACCGTGAGGGGGTGGGAGAAGGAAAAGGGGAAGGAGAGAGGGCAAGAGAGAAAGACTCCACTGTTATGATTTTAGGATGGACCCTAACCTGGAGAAGTCCTCACACAAGAATACCTCCTCACTGGGTGCCCCCTTGACCTACTTCACACAAAGATATTTGGTTTAAAAATAGCAGTTGAGAGACTGTGGTCTTTCCTCAATCACATCCTTACAGCTAAGTCTCCAATTTATCTGTGAGTGATGTGCTTTGTGGGTTAAAAAGATTGCACAAGGAAAATAAAACATAGTAACATCGTGAGTTCTTTCCAAAGGTTGTAAATTAGGTCATGAGAGAAGTGAAGCCTACCAAATACTTCTTGGTAGATCATGTCTTGGCAGATGGCATGGGGACAATTTGATCTCATGAACTCATAAGAACTAAAAGAATGAAAGTCCTCATTTCTTCGAACAAAGGGAAGATATATAAAACGTTTTCCACATGAATGACTTGTAAGAGAACAAGAGAATCAATGAGGAAAAAGTGAGTTTGACAATATTTGGACATGGGCATAGGTTTTATTAGAATTTTCAAAATGAATGTATAGAAGAATCATGGGAAGTTTCTAACAGTGGTAAAGATGTTGTTCTGCTGTTAAATAAGTGAATTGATAGTTAAGAGAAAAGGCCTGAATTTTGCATGACCAAAAGTTCCTAGGTAAGCCTCATCAACAGTCTGATTTAAGGAAGCTCTGGCGAAACAAAATTCAAAACTGCAGAGCTGAAGTGAGTACAGGCTGAGTGGAAACTTACCCTTTTAAGGGCTATTAAATATATTTATCTCAAATTTTTCTGCTTCTATAGACAGTAGGGATGGATTCTCACTGAGCATCTCCTACTGCTGTGCTTTGGGTAAATTTCTTTCTTTTTTCTTTAGGATATTAGAATATATGTCAAAATAATAAATAAATATTTACTGATAGTCTCTCTCTCTTTCTCTCCCCCCTCATTAAATTATAAACAGGCATCTAAAAGGTTAATAAAATAAAATCAGATAAAATAAAACCAACCAAGCAAGCATAAGACAAAAGAAAAGAAACAGAAGAAAAAGAAACAAAGAAAATCCTCAAGAAACATACATAGACACAGACACACAGAGAGAAATCCTATAAAAATACAAAATCAGAGACCATAATATATACATAAAAGTCATATAAGGATAAAAGGCAAAACAATAACAACAAAATCCCAAGGTCCTGATAAAGCATTATGAAATAATCTTGATTTTCAAAGAAGTGTTTTTTAAAATATAGACGATGGGCATGTGTCCATAATGTCTTTCTCAGTGTGTTTGGTGATGATGTATGGAAAACTGCTGATTGTAATAAGTTGATTTTGTATCCTGATATGTTGATGAAATAGTTGTTTCTAGAAATTTCCTGATGAAATTCTTGGGATTTCTTACATATATCATATCATCTGCAAACAGGAATAACTTGACTTCTATTATGCTGACCACACTTCATAACAGGACCTACACTAAAGAATTTTATCCAACTCACTTTATGAGTTAAGGAAGGAAGAGAGGGAGGGAGGGAAGGAAGAAGGGGGGAGAGAGGGAGGCAAAAAAGAAGCAAGGATAACAAAATTAGATATGTAGAGAGGTAGGGGGGTCTGGGAGGAGTAGAAGTGATATATATTCTCAAAACATTTCATGAAATTCTTAAAAGATTAAACACAATTTACATTTTAAAGAGAATATCTCATCATTCCTTCACCTGCTTCTTCAGTATCCAAATTAACTTGATCAAGGAGCCAATTAACCTCTTCTCCCATGAGAGCCATGGACTTCCTTTATCACCCAATTAGACTTCCTGCTACAAAAGCTACCAAAGCAACCAGTGCCAAAGCTGTCAACTGTAGTGTCAATTGTAGGCAACTCGTAGCAGAAAATCTTTAATAGCTGTCCCAGAAGGAATTTTATAGAAGGACTTCCTAGAGACTTCATCTAGGACATCATCAACACCCCAAAGGAGAAAGGCAGCATTGCCTGAGCTAAGCACAAACTTTAAACTGTGGTTTGGGCACCACACAAATCCATTCTTAACAACCCTATGAGAATGCAGAAATCGCAAAAAGAGAGTTTCTTTGGCTATCCATACCTTACAGAGCAGAGTCAAGAAGAGTCTACATACAAGGGAAGCTGGGCACCTTTAAGAGAAAAATGAGGCTAGTAAAATAGAGTAGAGCCCAACACAGGACCACAGAGACTAAGTAATAGACCAAGAGACAAAATAGCATTCAAATGATCACATTTTCTTATATTTCCACACTTTTCTTTATCCACTACAGCTATTAATTATCTGGAAGAGATTTCAGTAGTTTATGCTGTCACCCTACTCTCCTCCTCCTGAAAACAGGTATGTATTGTCTATATATAGGAGGTCAATGTAGCAGATCAAGACTGACTCCTATTGCTCATACCTTAACTATTTTGCTCTCACTTGTTTTTCCCTGTGGTTTTTCCCTTCTGTCTCCTTTTCTATACCAGCTCCTCTTTCTGTTAATACTTTCAAACTCCAGAGGCTAAGCTGGCTTACGATATCTCGGTATCATCACCTTCTTTTTTTAGTATACCACTAATCAAACTCCCACAAATTCTGTTCCTCATTTTTTTTATTTGCCTCAGTAGTTCTCACATCTTCTCTACATCCTATCCAGTAACTAGTATTACCTAATAGTCTCAATGATATTGCTTCTTTTTCTGTCCACTTGTGCACACAATAGCTAATATAGCATTGTACATAGTACTATCATTGTCCTTTTACTTTACTCCCTAAGCTAGTTGTTCCAGTAAGTAATCATTAACTCCAAAAGAACATAAAGAAGCCATTTCCAATGTAATTGTATTAAGACCTCTTTATTATAAGTTCAGGGCCTGGATAGAGCTGGTCTCCAATGAGTGCTGTCACTCCTAAGTTCACAGGTGAGACAACCACTTTTCTCCAATAACTGGCCAAAGAGGGACCCACCAGGAGCCCACAGGGCACAGGAACCATGAACAGGATCCTTCTGGGTTCCATAAGCACCCCTGAGCAAACCCTGTGACACAGCTCTCCATATCCAAATCCTGACCTGAGAGAATTGGTTTCCTGGGAGTGCCCACACACCTAAGATCACAGGCTCAAAGGCTCACAGGAGGGACAAGCTAGATTCAGAGACAGTAAGACCGAGTAACACCAGAGATTTCCAGATGGCAAGAAACAAACACAAGAACCTACACAACAGAAACTAAGGCTACTTGGCAATGTCAGAACCCAGTTCTCCCACCACAGCAAGTCCTGGATACCTCAACATACCAGCAAAGCAAGATTCAGATTTAAAATCACTTCCATGATGATGATAGAGGACTTTAAGAAGGACATAAATAACTCCCTTAAAGAAATACAGGAGATCACAGGTAAACAGGTACAAGCGCTTAAAGAGGAAACACAAAAATCCCTTAAAGAATTACAAGAAAACACAACCAAAGAGGTAAAGGAATTGAACAAAACTATCCAGGACATAAAAATGGACGTAGAAACAATAAAGAAATCACAAAGGGAGATGACCCTGGAGATAGAAAACCTAGGAAAGAAATCAGGAGTCATAGATGCAAGTATCACCAACAGAATACAAGAGATAGAAGAGAGACTCTCAGGTGCAGAAGATGCCAGAGAAAATATTGACACAACTTTCAAAGAAAATGCAAAATGTAAAAACCTCCTAACCCAAAACATCCAGGACATCCAGGACACAATGAGAAGACCAAATCTAAGGATGATAGGTATAGAAGAGAGTGAAGATTCCCAACTTAAAGGGCCAATAAATGTCTTCAACAAAATTATAGAAGAAATCTTCCCTAACCTAAAGAAAGACATGCCCATGAATATACATGAAGCCTACAGAACTCCAAATAGACTAGACCAAAAGAGAAATTCCTCCCTTCACATAATAATCAAAATACCAAATGCATAAAACAAAGAAAGAATATTAAAAGCAGTAAGGGAAAAAGGTCAAGTAACATATAAAGGCATACCTATTACAATTACACCAGACTTCTCATCAGAGACTCTAAAAGCCAGAGGATCCTGAGCAGATATCATACAGGCCCTAAGAGAACACAAATGCCAGCACAGGATACTTTACCCAGCAAAACATTCAATTAACATAGATGGAGAAACCAAGATATTTCATGACAAAACCAAATTTACACAAAATCTTTCCACAAATCCAGCCTTACAAAGGATAATAAGTGGAAAACTCCAACATAGGAAGGGAAACTACACCCTAGAAAAAACAAGAGAATAATCTTCTTCCAAAAAACTCAAAAGAAGAGAGACCCACAAACATAGTTCCACCTCTAACAACAAAAATATCAGGAAGCAATAGTCACTTTTTCTTTAAAAAAAAAAATCTCTTAACATCAATGGACTCAATTCTCCAATGAAAAGATATAGACTAACAGACTGGATACAGAAACAGGACCCAGCTTTTTTCTGCATACAGGGAATGCACCTCAGTGGCCAAGAGAGATACCATCTCAGAGTAAAAGCTTGGAAAAATATTTCCAAGCAAATA